ATCTTAAAATTTTGATGTAGATTGTCGTTTCTCAAGGAGACGACATCTTTGTCGTTTCCTTGAGATCTACAGGAATTTTATCTTTCGCCTCTGTGTCATCATGTATAGATTTTGTCATGGTTTTAGGGTTAAGTAGAGCTGTCAGTCATTTTAGGAAAAGTGTGTGAGGGAGACGGCGACAGGGCGGAGACTCGGCAGCAGGATTCCCCAAGACTGCTTTCATAATTGGGGGAACATCTGACTTTGTCCCGCGCTGGCAGATGGTGAGCTGAGGCGCGATCCAAGGGGGGAGATTTACATTCATTGTCCAGGCGCACAAACTCCACATAGAGACAATAGTCTCGGTAAGGGGCAGAGAGCCCGCGTTGGGGGGGGGGGGGACTTTCCCTTTCATAGCCAGACGAATGGAAGCGGAAATTAATTTTATTCCCCCCCAAATTTAACCCAAAAGCATTGGACATACAACCCAAATTTGACTTTAATGAAAGTAATAACAGATCAGAAAGCACAAATGGTAAAATGAACCCATCAGCACTGTGCTTGGTTTCTTTAATATGAGCCAGTAACGAAATCATCAGATGGAGCAGCAAAGGAAACTTTGTCAGACTCTCAAAACTCGTAAGTTCATGTATTCCATTTTTTTCTGCGGGCTACAGAGGATGGTGATCATGTTTGTTAACAGCATTATTTGCAACGGGTCTCATGACTAGGTTGGATTTGTTGAGGCAGTCTGTCCTATTGATTAAGAGAACTCATTTCGGGCACTGTCAGGCAGCGCTCCAAACGCCAATCAGAGTGCAGCGTCGTCGGCTGCTGGCGGAGATTGATGGACCAACCAGACGGCCATTGTTGCTGCTGACACTGATGCGATGCGTCCTCAGCGGAATCACCGCGTTCAAAGGAGCAGACGGTCGAGCTGCTGAATGCGTGCCTGTCGAGAGCGCACTTGTGTTAAATGTTGACTTGAATGGATAGACCAAACAGAACTGGCTGTACGGGCTTTTAAGGGCAGTATAGCTGCGCAGCATGTACAAGACAATCTGAAACCAAACGCCAGTAATTGTTTTTTAAATACACAAAAGCGCCCAGAAATTCTTAAAGTGAGCAAAGTTTTTTTCTTTTTTCCCCCTAACGTAACCTTTTGCGTACCTTTTAATAAAAGGTTTCAATGACTACACTCCAACGTCTGCCACACACACAAAGAAAAAAAAACGTGAAATATAGTATACACACTAAATTCTTAAATTAACAACGTTTCTTCATTATAAATGTTTTTTGTGGTTTTATGTGATTTTTATCTAGGGAAACTTCTCTGTGTTTAAAAAAGTTTGCTGCTGGAGTCACAGGTTGGATGCTGAATCTGGCAGCAGACCAAACAAGGGATGCACTTTGCACCAATGAGAGCACCCATTTCAACGATCCCATATGGCATCGAGGCCCCGCCTCCACGCCCCATCCCAGCTGAGGGTCTCATTCATGCTTCAACACAGTCGTTCGCTACAAGCTTCCTGGCCCTCGGATCAACTGGTTTGATTCGATTTGGCCCTGTGACAAAGGAAGACTTTCTGCACACTCATACTTTAAAGAATATTTCGAGACTCGCTCCCGGATATCTGCGGAGCTGAACGCACAGAGCCCGTTCGGACTGACGGTGGAGATGTGCGCTTGGACAATGCTTCACATCAGTGGAAGGATATATTTACTATCATCATTTGAACCATAAAAGAAAGTCCTTTCGGATTTTTAACGAGACACCCCTGAAACATCACACAGCGTCGGTTACTTCTTTCCCCCCACATAGCTCTGTAAATGCTCAGTTCGTTTGTGGCGCTTTGGAGGAGCGCAGCGCGTTGAAGTGGACCTTTTCTTGTGTGCCAAAGTGCTTTAGCTGCCTAACTCAGTGTTTTTTCAACTGCTTCAAGAAAGTGTTACCAGCCGATCGGAGCAGGGTGTAAATGTTTGGAATCCAGGAACATCTGATTCGTGAAGCGAGCGGATTAAAAGAAAGAGGTCTTGGAGAGGAGATGGATCCAGTCCGGTCGTGGGTGCGCAATGTTGGGGTTGTGGATGCGAACGTCGCAGCGCAAAGGTACAGAGCAAACTCAGCTGATCTGCTGACTTTAGGTTCTCACCATCCTCTCATCTGATACGCCCAGGCTTGTTTGACTGCTCATGATGGAGACATCTTTATAGTTTATTTATTATTATTATTATTATTATTATTATTATTATTATTATTATTATTATTATTATATTTTTAAGGTCGAACATTAGAAGAGGCAACCTTTGAGAAAAGAGCTGCAAACTACTTGTTGCAAAATATGACACCAGTCCCCTATAAAACTCACTGCCCCCAAACTCGTAAAAACTTCCTAAAAGTGACGAAGAAAATAACAACAAACATTTTTCATAATGCTTGAAATGATAATGAAACTTGCCCCAAATGCAAAACAGCTAACAATTATTAATTTGTACATAAAGGCAAGAGGCATTTAATAACGTCATTAGTTTTCGTTCACAGGAGCGGAGATCACTGTTAAAGCTGTTTGTGACTAAAACGAAATACATATTTTTCCCAGAGCAGCTTTAGCTTCAGCTTAAAGGCAACTTCATCGTCACCTGCCACAAACTTTACAGCTCTGATTTTTTAAAAAACAGAAAAGACAGATTTTCCAGTGTTGGCTCTTTCTTCTACTTGTTTTTTACTCTTCCGTA